TACTCCATTGAGGAATGTGAAATACAGAGTTACATCAACAATTAATGTTGCCTTTACTACTTCTGAAGATACGTTCCGGCTTTACATTTGTTCGGATTGTAAGACATGTTTTTCTCTTTAGACCATGTCATGAATTGTTCCTCAAGGTTAGCAGCCGGATCATATAGAAACTGTTAAACTCGGGGCGTATAAAGAATTACAATTCTGTAAATATTTGGAAACGGCATGTAAAGTATATGACGGTGCAGGTTTTTAAACTATAGGCTAACCGATCTTCGATGCGGCGAGAGGCTATTGACAACATTTTAGTATTTACACTGAGGAACAAAATCAACGGATTTATTGCAGTGTATGAAGCTTAATAAGTTTTTCAAAAGCTTTTGAGTCAATTATTTTCGGTTTATATGGAACAACTTAACAAACACATTTTTATTGACGGTTAATCAGTGTTCGAAAGAGATTATCCCGTCTTGCATTGTTTTATAATAGATTATAGGCTAATAGATATCTTGCCAATCTAGACTAACTATCAAAATCGGTTGATCTTCAAGTTTCTTGCAATTTTTGTGAATATTAGGTTCTTTTATGAGTAGACACAGTTTTTTCTTGTAATGTATTTAATATATTTTTATGCATTGTGCTCGAAGATGTTAGCTCGTAAGCTGCTCAAAACATTGGAGTGCTTTATGTATCAGGTATGTATGTTGCCTGTGCCGTTAGCCTTTTTGTTTCATATGCTGAGCAAATTTCCGAAAAAAAATTTTTCTTAGCAAAAACTTTCTCGATCTAGTTTTATTTATTTGGTCACTCAAAATATAAGTTTCTCGGACTTCACGATAATTCGATTAACTTTCCCGATAAACTGATGAATCTACTCTCAAGCCAGGCACTTAAAGTCCCAGTTTGTAGAAACTCCCAATATTTTGGACCAATTTAATCTGATTTCCTTATGAAGTTCCAAAACGCCACAGCTTTCCTCTGTATTTCCATTTTTCTAACTAAGCTCAGTGCACAAAAGAAAATTATAATTTTACTAAGTCATGTGCGTCGGTTACCTTATCGTGCGGCTTACATGGGCAATTTTGTCGAGCAGCTTTTTCATTTGACCTTATGTAAAACTAACGGCAATTTAACATGGTAATTTACTCGCAATTTCACAAGCAATATCTTTTTTCTGTAAAAAATATCATTTTTTGAAACATAGAAATAAGTTCGAAAGGCGCAAATGTGCACTAATCAGACTAATCGTTGCGCTTAGAATCCGAACTTCAAGTTAATTGAAAAAGGTAATAATACCAAACGAATTTGACTCAGCCGTTTTACAGTAAATTTGAGGTTGTGATGTCGCCATGGCCCTAACTTGAGATCAAGCTCTATTTTCGTTTCGCTTGACAAATAAGTTTCCGGCGAGAAAGGCGAAACGCGAACGCGTAAGAGAGAATTTATGGATTCTATACTAGCCGCTAAAATTGGGCCTGATCTCAGGTTACCATGCCCTTAGTTTGCAAACGACAACATTTACCATGGGTATGACAGTTTCTCCAAAGCAGGATGGGGATAAACTGTACGTACATTACTGCATTTTTCGATCAAAATCGTTTCACTGCGACATGCCTCAGGCAAATCGCGCTGTGGGAATTTGCAGTTGAGACCAAAACAAAGCTCATGTCGCGCGACAACTAGGGCGATAAATTCTCCCCGTACCACTGAGCCTTTCAGGCCCTGTCAGAAAAGAAGTCCGTGAAAAGCAGCTTTGGTGGACTAAGTTTCGGTGAGCAAAGATCTTAGTTTACCGCTGTACCGGGTAAGAGATGATCTTGCGAATGCGACATTGGGCAGGCCGAATTTCTACTAGAGATGATTTATCCGTCTCTAATAAAGATTCGGCCATTATATAAACCTGATCAGCAGCGTTTAAAACGATCTTGAAGAAGGCTCACTTCTGTGACTTTTTCAGTCTGGACGCTTGTACTTGAGTATCATATCTCGATAACACTTGACAGTTAAATTTCTGGCCCTTTATAACTTACTTTAATACCTTCAATTTTTTATAAAACAAAAATAACTATTATTTTTAATTCAGTGACTAGAAGCGCGTATGTAACATTTATTATATTTGTAGCTGTTTCATTTTTGAACACAACATTAATATGCAAAAGCCGAATACTCCACATTCGGAACGTCTACCTAACATGTTTTATTTGCTGTTTTTGAAATGAAGTTAACATTGACCTTAATGAGACGAGCAAACGTTAATTTTACAAGTAGACAAAGCGGAAGTGTTAATCAGTCTAAACTAGAACAAGAAAAAGTTCGTATTTTTAAACAATGAATGGTGGTGGGCAAAATAAACAACTGAAGGCAATAAAAAGGTTAACTCAGCCAAGAAAATCATTCACTTGGCAAGTGTGCCTCAAGTGAGGGATCAAAAAACACTGCTGATAGACCCTGATAGGGAAGAGAAGCTTTGGAAGAAATTGGTAAGAAAATAAGCCTTAAGTCTTAGACTTCACATTGTCCTTCGAAACTAATTATTTTTCCTTTGCAGTTTCAGACTGATTATATTTTCTCCGAAGATGTTTCGATCGTGTCCACTGTTTTTCCTCTTGCTTGGCCTTTTACTGGTAAGTTTACCGTGAGTTGTGATGTTAAAATCCCCTTGTCAGTTTCCTAATAGGCCATTTTCACGATTACATCATTTAACAACAACTTCAAGAGTCCATTTCGTTTTTTGCTTTTCTATTTAAATTTGTCAAGCCCATTGAGTGTTGGAAGTATTAATAGCCAATTTTAAAAAGAAAACAACAATTAAAAAGTGAACAACTCTGCTAACCGTTAAGTTAACAAAAGATGCCAATCATGCAATTGTCCTGTTTTCCCCCTTTTATACCCCATATCGCCCGTACCCTCCTGTCCCTCCTTAGCAACAGGTTTCTCTATGCTTCCCCTCCGATACTTCCCTGTATCCTCCATGTAGTCCATGTTCCCCGTTATCTTACCTATATATCCTTGTTCTATTATTCTTCCTACCGGCGCCCGGTTCCCGAGAGGACGATGCGCTCCAAAGGGATCAAAATTTTACTACGCAATTGTTTTGAACTTCCCATATATTAAATTCGATTATCGTGGATCTCACAGTAAAGGCTCAACAATATATTTTGTGCTTTTCGTGGGCAAGAAGCGTACGCATAAAATTTGTGTTAGCCTTTTGTTGAACTTAATCATCCTTCGAGGAACCGTGCCCATTACTCCCGTGTATTCCCATACCCTCTTCATACAGTCTTCTTATCTATAATCGCCTTGTACTCCCATAAAAATTATCTACTCCCTTGTATCGTCTTTGTAATCCCATATATCCCCGTACCCTTCTACATCTACCCTCTACTCCCTTGTATCGTCTTTGTAATCCCATATATCCCTGTACCCTTCTACATCTACCCTCTACTCCCTTGTATCGTCTTTGTACTCCCATATATCCCCTTACCCTTCTACATATACCCTCTACTCCCTTGTATCGTCTTTGTACTTCCATATTTCCCTGTACCTCTCTACATCTACCCTCTACTCCCTTGTATCGTCTTTGTACTCCCATATCAGGCCCGTACCCTTCTTCATATACCCTCTACACTCATGTATTGTTCCTGTACTCTTATATATCCCTATAGCTTTTTACATTTCGCCTTTACTTTCTTCAACTCTCTTCTTATAATACCTTTAATGAATCTGCAGGACAACGGCCTTGGAAATTCCTCGGTAAAACCGCGGAGCAAGCGATCTTACCATCACAGTCATTCAAAGAAGTTATCGATAAAAGACCTTGCTCTTGAGCTGGCAAAAAAACATGTAAGTACACTAGAACCTCGATAAAAGGAACTCGGATAAGTCGACCTCCCCGCTAACTTTAATCAAGTCCCATTTCCCTTGGATTTCACCCCACTTTTGAGCATTTTTACTCGGTGAACTCGAACTCGGATAACTCCAATTCCTTGCTAGCTAGAACAAAATTTCCTCTCCCTTTTGATAAAAAATTCACTGAAATTTATCCCAGTAACTCAAATTCTGGTTCTTGTAACTTAACTCGGATACATGCCATCTCGTTAGCTCTTGAAACACTAAAACTAACACTAGTCAACACTGCAGCAATTTGATTTTGCAAATGATTGGCGGCAACGAACACATCTCGGTTTACCATAAATCATATCATTGTCTCTGATGAAATAGTAAAATTTGCATTGCACTACACACTAATGTGCTGACTGTCTCAGTTCAACTTTGTTTTAATTTTTTGTCGCCATCTCACCTGCATCTTCCTTATTCGCTATTTTCCAGTCCAATTTATCGCTTGCCGGACTTTTTTTATAGGCCTCACCAGGAAGCGCGGTAATAAGATTTCACGTCCATTTTTTATGTTACAGCCATCAGAGCCATGTAGACAGTTTCACTTTTTAAAATCTGCTTTTTACTAAGCATGAGTTTTTTGATATTGTGGGCTTTTGGCTGCTATTGTTAATTCTAAATGAAACAAAGTAGTTGTCTTCCTTTCTTCCTTTTCCCATTTTCAGTTGCTGAAGATGATCATCTAATGAGCAGCATGACCTGGACAAAGCCAAGGAGAGTGTCTATATTCTTCAGAGAGGTTTGTTACTTCACACCATTTCCTTTTTTCTCGGGCGCACAAACACGTTTTAGGCATCACTTCTAGACCACGCTATCGCTTGTTCATTATTAAACACGCAAAACAAAGTCAATGAGATAAGATATCATTGTTTTGTTTCGAATGAAAGCTCCCTACCCCAATAAAAAATATAAAAAGTTCAGTTCAGACCACTAGTCGATTTAAAAACGTTGCCAAGGAACTGACATTGGGACCAACGAGACAAAAATGGAGCCAGTGGTCCGGAGTTTGACGCTCGTAACGCGGCCACCTAACCTCCAATGAAACAATTACAGAATTTGGCTGACGTTTTTATTGGGCATTCTGAGAAAGCTTGAGAAAATCTTTAAATCAGATACACTTTCTCTACTTTCTCGCAGATAGCTGCACTCACATTAAGTCCATTGGCAAGCCTGTGACTCACAACACTAGGCAGTATCAACAAGGAGCATGGATGAAAGATCCGCTAGGTATCATGGGTGCCGAGACCATATTCGTTATGGAGTATTACTCCGGGAGAAACGAGCTTGAGGAGTTTGCAAACATGGACATGTTCAAAGCAGGCATCGCTCGTAAGAAGTACAAACTGCCTTATACGTGGGACGGAACAGGAGGAGCGGTGTATGGACCAAACCTTTACTACAACAGGTAACAGTGTACTCATCAACTTGTTTTTGTCAAGATGTAAATTTGCGCCAGTTGAATATGGTCAGCTGGGGAACCAAGGTTTCAATATATATATATATGACTGGATTTGTTAAAACGTCGCTAAACTGAAGAAATTTCAAGTGCATTTGAACTATTTGACATCTAAGTCGAATGGGAAGCAGTTAAAAGTCACTAGCTGAGGCTAAACAATGACAGCATTATTGCTGGCAATAGACGGTAAAGTTCTCTCGCAGAAGTAAAAGGATTTTGCGATGAAATAAACAACATTTGAAACGTCCAGAAATCTTTTAGTCAGTCAAAACGTGACGCCCATAGCTCAGTGTCGGCCGAAAACAGATTAAGAATCCGCAATCTTTGAGCACAGAATAGGCTTTCTGAGACACATCACCTGAACTAAACACTCACGAAGCGTTTTTATGCTTGACACAAAGTATTCTAGTACCACGAGCTCAACCGCACATACCTGAGATTTGTCTGTCAACGCTTTCGGTAAATCACACAATAAATGACTTTCGCGGCAATCACAACACTTCCAAAAACCACTCATAATATTTCCACACTTTACACGGGCGAAACATCGTCAAATTACTCCGTAAAACTCTCGCTTTCTCTTCTTTCTTTTGTTCCAATAAATTTGCATAGCCGTTAGCCACGTGAGTAAAATGCTCTATACGAGTTCACTTTTGCATTTAATACTGAGTATATAGAGGTCATCATCATCCAAGTGCGTAACTTATACATCTTCTTAAGCTGGCTAGCTTGCCACGCAATTTCCAAGCACCCTTGCTAGCTAATACTAACAAATGCTGATTTTCTTGTGTTGTCGTGACAGAGCTAATACGAACAATATCGTCGTGTACAATCTACAAACGGAACGTGAAGTAAAACAGATAGGTTTGGGCGGATCAGCAAGGAGGAATTATTACCAGTGGGGTGGATACACCGGAGTTGACCTTGCAGTTGACGAACAAGGATTATGGGTTTTATGGGGCTACAATGGCAACAGCTACCGATTGTATGCACATAAAATAGATGTGTACCGAGGTGTTACAACTTACGGCTGGGGCTTAGGAACAGGTGACTACAGTATAGCTACACGATGAAGTGAGAACGTTATGAAAAATTCAGTAACGAAAAATAACTAGGCTAGCGTTGATGTGTGATATTTTTTAAACCTATTTCTGTAACCTGCTGTTAGTGAGTGAACCATCAACTCAACAATTTTTCCGTCCTTCTCGAGATACGTATCAATAGTGCCAGTCCCATCCATTTTACACGGAATATTATTCTATTTCGCAAGTCAGTATTATCCTAGTGAAAGTCCCTTGCTACTATTGGACATACCGTTTCATTATGTTCACTTTTCATCTCTTTTTCTTATTTCAGAGAGTATGAGGTCAATGGGAAATGCGTTTATGGCCTGTGGAGTGGTTTACTGTATCGACAGCTATAACTCAAAGTCCACAACCATCAACTTTGCTTATGACACCAAGACTGGACGTTCATGGAACCCCAACATTCAGTTCACCAATCAGTACGGCTACAACTCCATGGTGGACTACAACCCCAGAGAAAGAGTGTTGTACGCCTGGGACAACAGGCGTTTGGTCACTTATCCCATCAAATTTGAGAAACATTAAGCTCATTATGTGATCAGCAGGTGTTGGGTTTAAAAAATGCTGATCAAGAACGCTTTGCTTTACGTAGACGATGACAAGTTAGGGTAGTTCTTAGCAAGCGAGTTTTACTTTTGCACAAGAATAAACAAACAACCGAAATGCCAAATAAACCAACCTCGATATTCAGCTCACTCACACTTCAAAACCCAACAGTAAATGCTACTTCTAAACAATGAATTCCAAAGCTTATTTTCAGTTCGCTATGATTCATGCAGTACAACCTATAAGTAGTGCAAACGTTTGAAAACTATTCAAGCCAACATTGTTGAGCTGTTATCAAATGATGCGCTTAGGTAAGACTTTCATCAGTAACTTTTTAAAAGCCGAATTTCACTGAAGTTTTTATCTTTTTTTCTTGGGAGTTACTCAGTCAACAGTTTAAGGTTTACAAGGACTGTGCCACGTAGACGAACTCATTTGTGGTCAACTAGCCTAATTTTGTCATTAAACTGCTGTTACCAGTGCTGAAATGCTGAAGTCATAAAAACGGTTAAACTGAAAATGATCTCTTGTTGGTTTGTTTGTTCAGTGGTAGCACGACAATGTATGAGGACGTCACGGGTGAAGATGTGAGGGAACGCGAAGGGTCTATGTGCTTGTTTTATAACTTTTTCTTATGATATTCGAGCAGTTGGAAATTTGGTACAAAGGTAATGTAAAAAACTAAACGTGCCAATAATGAGAAACGATTCAGTTACCAAACTATCTCATTTTTCTGAATCGTTTCTCATTATTGGCCCGTTTAGTTTTTTACATCACCTTTGTCAGTGTCAAATTTCCAATTGCTTCTCGTCTGTGCCATTTGAATTGTGACTACAAACGACTTTCCGATTCTTCATTAAATCCCCTGAAAAAGGACGGCTTGTCCGTCCGAAACATCGGGAAACCTCAAGTCTCTTTTCTCTCTGCTTTTTTGCTATTTATCTCAATAGATCGGCTGTCGCGACTTGTCCCTCTTTTCAGCTCGAATTTTGCGCTTTTAAAACTTGCTGTTGTAAGACGGCCTGAAATTGAGGGCAAAAGTTTACTCGATGGAGTCAGTTTTTCATGACTTAAAGTACGAGTGATAGTCATGTATATTTAGCTCAAAAGACTCTAATAGTGTCCAGTTTCCATTGTTCATTACGCATGTAGAACAATTAAGAAAATAGGAAACGTCTGTATGCAGGCTAAAAACACTGCCCTAGGAACTTTAAATTCAGATGATTATGCAGTCTGTACTTTTGACGAGAATGTGTAGTGAAACCAAGAGTCAGAGAATAATGGGATAGAGAGGTAAACGCCTAGTATCACGGCCCTTGGGGACCAATTAAATGCTTGAAATTAATGGGGAGGTTTGTTTCCGGGGATGTCCACAAACTTTTATTCAGTGTTTCACTAGAGAATTCGACAGTCGTCATTACAATATTCTGCATTTTTTGCTTTGAGGCAGTCGCACGAGGACTTCGTGAAGTTTCAATCAATCTTTTAAAATGTGCTGTCGTCTCAAGAATAGGGCTTTTCAATTACAACCTCTAAGAATAACTTAAGTGAAATTCACATATCCCGGCCAACGCCCCAAGATACGCTATCTTTGCCAATATTCTGTCTTGGTGAAAATCGAACCCCATTTGCCATACACGGCCTGTTAACAGCGCACCCAACGCCGGTTTCTTCCTAAATGCATTGAAAAGTCTTTGCTGGCTATCCAGAGTACTTTTAGATCTCTAAAAATGCATTCTAGGTGGCGCTGTAAAATTTGTTTTTGTTCTCTCATCCTAGGGGAGCTTGAGGCTTTTCGAAATTACAAGGGCTTCTGTGTTATTTTCCCGAAAAGTTTAGATGCAATTGAACATTTTACGAAATTGACAATTTTTGTGATTCCTCACTCCACCATTATTTTTGAATCCGAAAGTTTTAGGTTTCCTCTTTCTACGATGATTAGGCTAAAATCTGCTTCGAAAATTGTTCCTAAATGGAACGCTAGAAAGTTTTAGCTTTATTCAAGCATACAAAATTCAAGGTGATATTTTCTTCATCAAACAGATATATTTTACAGAAAACAGTCGTTGGCTGCCCCTGAGTGAAGGCAATTTCAGGCGACAATTTACATGTATATAGAAACTCATCATGTAAACATCGGCGGAAAAAAATCTATCTACGGTGGGCAATCGCGATCGACAGAAAAGATCATTCCATGTACAGTTCATCTGACCCTCTCTACACCGAAAAGGACAGAGCAGGTTTGCCAGACTATCATTTTTAGGATTCCACTGACATTTTATTAAACAACTCTGAGCTACTAAAAACAAGTGCCTGGCGCTCCAGTCAATTCATCCACGCCACAGCGCCAAACGAAAAGAAGCGGGCCTTTATTCGGGAGATTGATTTATTTCTCAGGTAGCTTGCAATGTAGCTGTATTTTTGGGAGCGGGCGAAAGCTGCTTGTTATCTTTATGCTGCCTATGTTCGATAATGCCGTGGCTGCTCTCTTGAATTTGATTTGTTGCTGAGAAAGATTGCAATTGGGGAGAGCAGCATCCCTTGGAATAGATCGCTTAGGGCGAAAACAGATGGTGGGGTAAGTGGGGGCCAACTCACATCTATTTTTTATAATTCAACATGGCGTTATGCGAGCAGAACGTAATAATGCGCACTCTAAAGAAAACGCCTACAATACACTGGGCACACTGGGCTACAGATTCTTTTATCTATATCGTTATTTTACTGTAAATGCACGGTAGAGTGAATCACCGAGATTGACGTTGGAGGCTACATATGTACCGCTAAAACTTTCTTTTTTTAAAATGAGGATATGATCGTCGCAAAGGTAATTGCAATCTAAGCAATTGCAAATTAACCCGAAAAAAATTACGGCACTTTTAAAGAAGATATGATCGTCAAAGCGGTAATTGCAATATAAGCAATTGAAAATTACTGAAAACGCAGGACGGTGACTTTAAAGACGCTCTCTACTATGACATGGCTTTAGTACCCACTAACGTGCCAATTGGCCAAACAAGGTCAAAAATAAACAAATAAATACGGTGGGGGCGCATTGAACTTTGGTGGAAAACTATCATTAGAAAATAAAGATTTCCATAAACTCTTATTTTTATGCTAAGCTGTCATGGACAGACAAAGAAATTTCTAACTGATCTACGCATAAATACAATATAAATTACTTTCAATAATAATAATAATAATAAAATCTTCCCCATTGGCTACTTTCGAATCATACTGAGGACGCAAAATGTCAAAATCAAGAAGTCCTTTTGTCAATATGCGTGTTCAAAACAACTTTTTAGTATTCAAAAACAATGAGAAAATAACAGCTCTCTTTATGGCCTAAATTCCCTGTGTATTTCCTTTACTTTACGAAACTGGTATGACGCGCGTGATGGAAAATTTTGAGTCAAATTGATTAATTGAAATTTTTCACTTACCATACGAGTGTAAAAGACAACATTTCAGTTGTAAATTCTCTCAGATAGCGTAAATAATCGGTCTAATTGTTAAGTTTTAACTTCGTGCCCAAGTTGATCAGAACGTGACGCGTCCAGCCTGTGTAACTGGCGGGATTCTTGATTCGGCGGCGAAGTGATCGGCGAAAATCCCAATTTGACTTGCTCCCACGCCAAAAAATAACACTCGCCCACTAATCCCACCAGCTACGCAGGTTGCGTCCATCTCTCCAGCAACGACTTCACCGCGTTGCAATCTCAAGTTTCGCGCGAATAAGTGCGTTTCGTTAATGCCTTTTGGCTCTTTCCGAGACGTATATGCATTCAAAACGATTTCATTCATGCGGTGTGAAATCGTACGTTTTCAGCAGCCTAGTCCCTAGGCGTTCTCGGCTCGGTAAATCATGGACTCTACCGTGAGCTGTGACGTCACCGAGAGATACACGCTCTTTCCCAGACTTCAAGCGGACAGCGAGGCAAGAGAGAACGCCTAGGCACTAGGTTGCGTTACGCACATTCCCACCACATGGAGTCTCCCCTCGGAAAGAAACAACCGCAAGCAAAAATTGCAATAGCGTTTCTCTTCGGTCAACTTCATTTTAATAATGTTACTTCACATGCTCTTTCTTACGGAGGCCATCTTGTTATGCGCAGTAAGAGATGCTCAGTGCAAAACCAGGGAATCCCCTTAATTTAAATCAACTGTTATTTGTCCCCTTCTCAACTGCATCTGCCTTATTCGCTTAAGTTTCCAGGCCAAATTATCACTTATAGGAATTTACCCTACCTAGGCCTGGCCTCCTCACTGACTTTTCAGCGCGCTAATAAGATTTCACGTCTCTTACGCTACAGCCATGCGGGCCGTGTCACTTTTTGAAGTCTGCTTTTTAATGTTGATAATAAGTTGTTTTTGTGATATTGCGGGCTTTTGGGAATATAATCGGCTATTGTTAATTCTAAATGAAAGCTGCCTTAATGATCCTTTCCTCCTTTTCACATTTTCAGTTGCTGAAGATGATCGTCAATGAGCAGTATGACCTGGATAGACCCAAGGAAAATGTTTGTACTCTTCAGAAAGGTTAGCTTTTTTTCCTTCGTCGCCCAAACAAAGTTTTTCATCACCACTAGACCACGTTAACAATGGTTATTAACCACGCAAAAAGAAGTCCATGAGATACATCATGCTCGAATCGTGACTCGGTCCCAATTACCGAGTCTAAGAACTACAAATGGGAGATCAAATAGTGAATGTTAACTTTGGCTTCAAAGCCAAAAACGTTCAATGACCACCTTAGCCGTTGTTCACACACGCCAAACGGGCGTTTAAACTCAGATTTATAATAAAACCATTTTTCAAATCTTTCTCAAGGTCGACACTGAGATCACTTCACTGTACATAACAAACTCAACTTTAGGTAGGTTGTTTGATGATTTCGAGAGAAGTGTCGTTGAGGTGCCTAAAAGACGTAAATGTTTTGTTTCGAAAGGAGGCTCAAAATGTCTTTTCGACTTTGCTTAAAGGAAGTCAAATGAAAGGTAAAAAAATGACAACCAAAGATAGTTTAAGTTAGATCACAAGGTGATTATTTGATATTCTGTAAGGAAGTTATCATGAGACACACATTGTCTGTTTCTTGCAGATAGCTGCACTCACATCAAGTCCATTGGCAAACCTTTGACTCACAACGCTAGGTCCTATACTCAAGGAGCATGGATGAAAGATCCGCTAGGAATCATGGGTGCTGAGACCATATTCGTTATGGCGTACTACTCTGGGAGAAACGAGCTTGAGGAGTTTGAAAACATGGACATGTTCAAAGCAGGCATCGCTCGTAAGAAGTATAAATTGCCTTACAACTGGGAGGGAACAGGAGGAGTGGTGTATGGACCTTACCTTTACTACAACAGGTATAAACGTTCTATTTTGGGGGGGGGGGAGGCCGTAAGGGGGCTACGAATACCGCAAAAACGCACAGATTAAGATAAGAAAACCGCAAACCACATCGAAATTACCCAAACATTTCTAATTACCACAAACCGCAATACCACAACTTGAAATGAAACATTTGCCCAAAACCGCACCACCAAAAACCCTTACGCCCCTTTCTTATAATTCATCACCTTGCATTGTCGTCATTTGTATTCAGTCGAACACATTTCCTCAAGACATGCTGCAGTTAGCGCTGAAATATTTCTTCCACAGACATAAATTACACTGTTTAATTGGAAGAGGGATTGTAGGCGATAGCCTCAGAAAGTCCATTGTATATCAAGCGACCGTAACAACAGAAGACAGCACACCTGACGAGACTTACGTTGGACTAACTGAAAACACTTTTAAGACACGCTTCACGAACCACAAAACATCATTTAATAATCCTAGCAAAAGAATGAGCACCGAGCTAGGTAAACATGTATGGAACCTTAAAGACAGAAACATTTGATTAACTTCCGGATCACCTGGAAGATTTTGAAGCAAGCTATCGCCTTCAACCCCTCTTCCAAGCGGTGTAATTTATGTCTTTGGGATAAATGTTTTATAATCTGTAAGCCCTTCTAGCCACTCTTAACAAGCGCAAAGAGCTTTATTGTATCTTCGTGTGGACACACGCTAGCAAATTTCAAGTCCTCTTCTGTTACATAATAGAACACATAGAAACAGCGTTGTATCCTTAGTGACTGCATTTCAAATTTCAGTTATAATCAGCGTACTGTTGTAAATCTACTATTAGGCTATTTTATCTGAAGGACCATCATGTAGTACGAAACTATATTATGCTAGTAATAGAATGCCTAGTCAAATCTTCAGTTGACAAAGCATTGTACTTCTGGCTTCTGGTATTCTCGCTGTAGTCCTTCTATTGAGCACTCAGGCAGCAGTTCTGCATCAGCTGAAATCAAGTATATATATATATATTGTGTATTACCAAACATTAGCGTTGTACACATTTGAATCAGTTTTTCTAATTGTTTTACTCAGTTGTAGGTGCTGTTAATGTACATACACAATACGATAATGTAAGTGCTTAGTTTTGCCCTTTATTTTGAATGTCAGTATAAAATAATTATCATCCAAAGAAAATTATGCATCTTACCTAGCAAGATAGCTTGCCCTGTGAGTGTATCGATCTGCAGTGTTAAACGCCGATAGTACTTTTAGATATTGACGATATCCTTCAAGGAGGTCTTCAAGCGCATCATCGACCAATAAATTTTTTCTTAATTAGGTGTAGATATTGATTCCACCCTCACTGTATACTAACAATTAATGTGCTTTTATGGCAGAGCGAATACGAACAACATCGTCAAGTA